AACCCTGTCTGGTCGGACGGACGGAAGGAAGGAAATTAAGGGGAAAAAAAGAAAAAAATTAAGGAAGGACCAAACAGCCTCACAGTTTGTAATAATGTAATAGTGACTGCCTTTAAGTTGTCTAACTTTCCTTCCTTCCTGAAGTGTCAAATATATAAACACAGAGGGTCAGACAGGACTGCCAGCTGGAGCCAGCCTAAACTCTAAAGCAAGTTCCAGGCTAATCTGGACAACAGCTAGACCACCTCAAACTCCCACCACCCCCCAATCCAAACCCTACTGCCAGCTATTCTTTCTTTAGCACCAGGCAGTATACTGAGTTTTTACGTATTATTTTCATAGTTTGAGGTTTTATTAGTACCCTTGTTTTAACCAGTTGTTGTCTAACAGTTTCCTCCATAATCCAAACATTCCACCCTGCAGGCTAGCTCCTAAGCAGAGGTAAACACCTTACGAACTCCCTGAAGCTGACCAGATTCACTAGACCCCTCCTAGTAAACAAACACAGAGTCACCTCTCAGAGGAAGAAAAGCCGAGCTTCACAGAAGACTCAGAGAGAAGCTGCCAGGGCGACTCTGAGGCCAGACCACTGCCTGAAAGAAGAAACCAGCAGGGCTGCCTGGAGAAGGTGCAGACCCCCGACACACCAGCAAAGGGCACTCCATCTGTTGTCCTGTCTGCAGGCTGCTGCTGTGCGGTACTCCAGGTTCACCCCATTTTGTGAGCTGTCACCCATCCTGGGGTAGGCTTTGGTGACAGCTGTCTCTGAGTCACTTCTGTCCTATAAATAATTCCTCACCCATATATATCCTTGTAAATAACCCCAATAAAACTCATTAGTTCACCAAGTTCTGTACTTTGGTCTGCCGTGGGCTCCCCATCTGGGATGAGTAGACAAGTGTGTTCGCTCCCCAGGAAGTTTTGTCACACCGCACTGGTCTAGCAAGGATTTATGTTTTTCTTTAAAGAAGGAAATCAGAAAGAATGGTATTGTTGGCTTTAGCTCATCTCTCAAAGCACCGTCAGACACACTAGAAAACAAAATAAAAAGCCCAACAAACCCCCAAAGGGTGAGGAGAAGCTGACCAGCTGTAGATCACTGAGACCTACCTGGTCAAGAGGAAGTAAAAGAACAGAGATCAAGGTCCGAAACTAAGGATCATCACAAAAAATAAACAAACAAAAACAAAAAACAAACAAAACAGAAAAAAAGAAAACAACCACCAGAAACCATGGCAGCCCAACTTGAGAGCAGCAGTTAAAAATGACATGCTCTTGGCCACCCTACCAGTGGGCAAAGGGAAGATCTGAAGGGACCACTTTGTTGCTCACACTGAGCTCCTGAATGTGGCACAAAAGAGATCTTGTCTAGAAACCAACTCCACATGAGGAGACAGCTATGGTTACACAGCAAGATGAAGTCTCAAAATGGGTTGGTGGGTGAGCACTACAAATTGGGTACATCTTGTTTAAAAAAAGTAACATTCTTGGGGCTGGATGCTTAAAATAGTTAAGGGTACTTATTGCTCTTCCAGAGGACCTGGATTCATTTCCAAACACAAGGCAGCTCCCAACCATCTGTAACTTCACACACTGTCTTCTGATCATGGTAGGCATGGCATTCACACAGTGCACAGACACATATGCAGGCAAAACACCCATACACATTTAAAACTTAACATTCTTCTTTTGTGGAAGTAACATTGGCATTATCTCCACCTTTTCCAGTGTGTACTGACAGACCCATGAAACAATTTCGGGATATACTAATCCAATCACTCCATCTCCAGAACCAGAGATTTTTGTTATGGGGAAAGTCCATTGAAAAGCTCCACAGTATTAGGCTGGAGATGGAGCTCAGTGGTGAAGTACCTGCCTAGCATGCAGAAGAGTCTGGATGTGATCCCCAGCACCAGGAAAACAATGTAATCACTATCTGGTTCTACAGTTATGACTCAATGGCTGAGCAGGGGGCTAACAGATGCAAGGCCCAGGTTCTACCCCAGGGAGAAGTGGAAAATAAGCAAGCAAGCAAAGGTTACATCTAATTTGGAAGAAAATATTATCCAAACTTCACCAAATGTAATCAAGAATATAAAAGCACCAATCATTTTAATACAGAACATCTAATACACAATAACCAAACAATGTAGGAAGTAGAAGATTCAAAATCTGACTGATTCGCAGGCTACCTGGTGATCCAGTAGGACAGGGTAAGACAGAACATTAAAGTTACCTTTTAGAATCAACTAGAGCAATATGTTTATCAAAAAGTTAAGGCAGTTTGTATATAAGCATCACAGTCTAAGATAAACCTTCACCCCTCCTTCTATTTCTGAAACAGGGTTTCTTCTCTGCATAACTTGGCATAACTGTCCTGGAACTCACTCTGTAGACCAGGCTGGCCTTGAACTCAGAGGTCTGCCTGCCTAAGACTCCCAAATTCTGGTATTAAAGGCGTGCACCACCACCCAGCTAAAATAATTTTGTATGGAAAAAAAAAAAAAACTTCAGGAAATAAAATGTTTTTCTTCTGATAAGGAAACAGCTTAGTCCAGTCAACAGCTCAAGGAAAAGAGACAATGTAAGCAATGAATGATATTTTAGGGACTCATTTATTTTTGAAAGATGGCATCTAGTCATTTTTAGGCTTTTCTTTATAAGTAAAACTAGTGACCTGCATCCATTTTTGGGGTGTTATGCCTGCACATAAAAATGTGCACCATGATCGTGCACTGTGCCCTTGGAAGCCAGAAGAGGACATCAGATCTCCTGGAACTGGAGTTACAGAGTTTTGAGCCTACAAGTGGGTGCAAGAAATCAGATCTGGGTCCTCTGGAAGAGCAGCCAGTGATCTTAACCAAAGAGCCATCTCTCCAGTCCAGTAAATGACTTTCTTCACTAGAAGATTCTCTTGTTTTTGGAGAAAGGGACTCACTGTAGCTTTGGCTGTCCTGGAACTCATTATGTAGACCAGGCTCATAGAGATCTACCTATCTCTGACTTTAACCCTCTGCTGGGATTAAGGGCATGCACCGCCATGTCTGGCAAGGATTCTATTCTTAAAATTGACATGCACAGAAATATTAGTCACATTAGGTTGATGAATATATTTTCATCTTCTTATTTGTTTGTTTTAGTTTTGCTTTTGTTTTTTCCAAGACAGGGTTTCTCTCTGTAACAGCTCTAGATGTCCTGAAACTCGCTCTGTAGAGGCTGGCCTCCCAAGTACTGGGATTAAAGGCCTGCACCACCATGTCCAGCTGTTTTAGTTTTTAAGACAGGGATTCTCTGTGTAGCCCTGACTGTCCTGGAACTCATTCTAGACCAGGCTGGCCTTGAACATGGAGATCCACCTGCCCTCAAATCCTGGGATTAAAGTGTGTGCCACCACCTTTCTTGCCCCGATGGGTATATTTTAATAAACTACTAAAGAGGTTCTGCTTATATAACTACTAAATTATGTACTACACTTAGATACATTTTCTTCCTAAAATCTAGCTACTTATTAGAAAGCTAAACCACAGCCATAAACAAATCTTGTAAAAAATGAACACTTGTTAATAAAGACAGAGAGCATGTTGGGGCATGCATGTAATCCCAGCACTACATAGATGAAAGGAGAATGAACCTAAGTTCAAAGCCAGTGTAGGTACCTTAAAGAAACAAGGATTCAAATTTTTAAGGAAGCAGAGAATGTAGCTCAGTGGTGGAGCTCTTGTCTAGCACATGAGGTACTAGGTTCCAGCTCCAGTGAAGATAGTAATAATAATAACAATATGATGATGATGATGATGATGACAAGAATGGGGAAAGCTAGGGTAGCAGCTCACATCTGCAATCCCAGTACTTGGTGGCTGAGATAGATCTGCCTAGAGTCTGAGGTCAGTCTGGGCTACCTAATAATTCAGAGCCATCTGAGCTAGAGTGTGATCCTATCTCAAAAAAATTAAAACTGTCTGGCTTGGCTGCCCAGCACCTAGAAGGCAGAGCCAGTAAGGATCACTGAGTTCAAATCCAGCCAGGGCTACAGAATGAGATAATGACAGAGAAGATATATAATCACTTGCTGAATATTATACTCAAAACTAAGCAGAGAGCTCACCAACACTAAACCCTAAATAACCTTTCTCTGCCCCCTACCCTACACGACTTATTGTACTAAGACAGGCTGTCTTACACTAAGTCACTGAGCCAGAGTGTGAAAGAACTTGTACCACATGAATAAACCAGACTTTTCCTTTTGAAAAATACAGTATAGGTTCGGATTGGCAACATTTGGCAATGAGCCTAGTAAGATGTTGGCATATGTAATAAGTTAGCTAACCCAGAAAGTCAGGACAGTGACAACTTCACCATCTGGAATGCGTCAGATAATCTCTTAAGTCCTCAAGACAACAAATCCAAGTTAGACTTTAAACAACATGGATTAGTCTGACAACAAAAGGCTGGACACTGGGCAGTACCAAAAAATGTCAACAACAAATCCCTATCAGTATCAAAGTCACAAAACTGTGGGAAGAAACCTGTTTACAATGATGAAGAACCCATAACGAAACATTCTTTTCTATGGTTCTTTCAAACTGGTAGGTTCTCCTTGTGCCAAAGCTGATATCCAGAAAATTTTGATAAATTCTAACAATTGTTATGCAACACACAGGAAGGAGTCTTGTCTTTACTGTGATCTTTAAGGCATCTCCATTTTTTTTTATTATATTTTTCTACTTATTTATTTTTGTGTATGAGTCCAATGACGACTTTTGGGAGTTAGTTCTCTCCTTCCATTATGTGGGACTCCCTAGGTGGAATTTCCAGATGAAATTCATATCCTCAGGCCTGGCAGCAAGCACCTTAACCAGTTGGGCAGTCTCACCCATCCCCAGGGTCTCCAATTTTGACAGACCTATTATATGAGTGTTCTGAAACCTTCTTTTTCCCCTTTCCTAAACAACTGTGAAGATAGGTAGGCCTGTGACCATGAACCCATGCTTTCTACTTACATTGTTTCTCCAGTCTTGGCTACATGACAGAGAAACTGATCCAGGACCGGACAAACTTCCTTTTTCCCCCTCTTCTCAAAATCTAGATAAGGGAAAGAAAAGAACGTTTATCAGTATGTCCTCTACAAGCCAATTTTATTCAAAGTCTTGCTCTACATTAGAAAACAATTAAGAAAATCAGCCTCAGCTGGGCGTGGCGAGGCAGCACGCACCTTTAATCCCAGCGTTCAGGAGGCAGAGGCAGGCGCATCTGAGTTCGAGGCCAGCCTGGTCTACAGAGTGAGTTCCAGGACAGCCAAGGGTACACAGAGAAACCCTGTCCCGAAAAACAAACCGGGGGTGGGGGGGGAGCAGGAGAGAGAGAGAGAGAGCAGAGAGAAAATGACCCTCTCACCCAAATACCCACAGCCACCCCGAGTTCCTACCTCCACGCCACCCTTTTCCACCCACAGCGCGAGTTCTCCTACAGGGGGCACCCCACCTCACACGCCATCCTTCACGGTGTTTCCCAAGAGTTTCCCAAGGGGAGCCCCGGCGTCCGACCCAAGCCCGGATCCCCGCCGTGTATACCTGAATGAATCCACTCCCCCCCCAAGTCACCCCCACCCAGCCGCCAATGCCCCAAATGCGGCTTGGGTGTCGAGAAGGGGTTCTCAGAACGCCGGGACCCCCGCGGTTCCAAGTTTGGGAAGCAGCGTTCTCGAGCCTGTTGCTCGCCAAGCCTCGGGGCCGGCGTGGGGAGGGCGAGCGGGGGGGGGGGCTCCCCAGGCCCAGAGGCCGCGACCGCGGCATCGACATCGGCATCGGCGCCGCCGCCGCCGCCGCCGCCCGACGAGGCCGCGCCGGTGCCAGGCGCTCCCCTCCCCCCACGCCCGCGGCCCACACAAAGCCCGGCGCGGGGGGCTGCGGGGCGGCGCGGGCGGCCCCCCGCCCGAGCGCGCGCGGCCGGCAGCGCGGCGACCCCCACCTTTCAGCGCCTCCTGCAGCCTCTCGACGTCCATGGCGCCGCGGAGTCCCTCGCCGCCGGCGCCTCCCTCGGCCGCCGTCCCGGGGGCCGCGGCGCCCGCCCCCGCCCCCCCCCGACGCCCGCCCCCGCCCTCGCACACACTCCGCCACACGCCGGCGACCGGGGACGGGGGGGGGGAAGGGTCCCGGAGGGAACCGGGGGCGGGGGGGGGAAGCGAGAGACGGAGCGAGACCGACAGAGCGAGCACCTCCCCGAGCCGCTACCACCAGCCCTCCAACATGGCGCCCGGCACGTCAGCGCGCGCACGCTCCCTCGCGCACCCTCCCCTCCCCCGGCGGCCGTCCTCGCTCGCTCGCTCGCTCGCTCGCGCGCGCGCGCGCACGCCCACACGCCCAAGAGTGCGCCCGGCCCAGTGCGCGTGCGCGGCGGGGCGTGGGGGGGAGGGGGGGGGCGCGAGGGGCGGAGGCGCGAGTTCGGAGCCCGCGGCTGCCCGGTGGGCGCTGAAGCCGCCGCCGAGCCCGACGGGAGGGCGGGGGTGGGGTGGGGTGGGTCCCTTCGCCTTTCTGAGCCTCGGTTTCCCCACCCGTACACTGACGGCGCCGGTGCCGACCACTGTGTACTGTTGCAATGATCACTGGAGCTCAAAGAACGCATTTTCAAAAAAAAAATTTTTTTTTGGTGGAGTAGGGGGGTTGTTTCGTTTTTCAAGACAGGGTTTCTCTGTGTAGCCCTGGCTGTCCTGGAACTCACTCTATCGACCGGGATGGCCTCAAACTCAGAGATCTAGCTACCTCTGCCTCTCAAGTGCTAGGATTAAAGGCGTGGGCCACCACCGCCCACCTTCGATGTATTTTGTTTTTATTTCTGAGGATCTTACGTTTCCCAAACTGGAAGATGACCTTAGGCTAGTCTCCTGACTTCACCTCCCACGTGCTGGGAGGATGGAGGTGTACCACCATTCCTGATTTTATGAGTGCTGGGATACAAACCCAGGGCTTGGCAAGCATTTTACCAAATGAGCCACATTCAGCCCAGTATGCTTTTTCTTCCTTAAATATCTACTTCTATTATTTATGTGCTGGAGAGGGGGTGTGGCACAGCTTGTGTGTGGAGGTCAGAGGTCACCTTTGAGAGTTGGTTCTCTCCTTACCCTTTGTGGATTCCATGGATGAAACACAGCCCCTCAGGCTTCCTGGTAAACACCTGTACCTGCTGAGGCATCTCCCTGGCCTTGTGCATTTTCAGAATAAAACAGACTTACTATTGCCTGCCTGGACCGAACTTTGATATTTGGTGAGAACTACAACTGAGTGGACCAAAAGCCTGAAAATCCAGACGCTGGATTTTTATCTCATCTCCTCTCCCCGTGTGACCTTGGGCTAGTGACCTAAACTCAAGAACTTCCCAAAGCCTCAGTGTGTAGGTCAACACCCCCAGAGCCCCGCACATGCTGGTAAGGCTCCACCGCTGAGTTAAGTCCTCAGTCCTTGAGGGCTCACCTTAAGGTCAGGAAGATGGTTCAGCAGGGAAAGACACTTGTTGCCCAGCTGGGGCCTGAGCTCTTTCTAGGGCCTAGCTTCACAGGATGGAAGGAGAGAACTAACTCCCACAAGTTGTTCCCTGATCCTTACACATGCCCACTCGCACAAACACACAATATAAAATATATAGTTTAAGCAAAGAATGAAAAATGGCGGCTATGAAGCAATGAACACATTGGCTACAATTCTGAAATGTTCAGGCAGCTGCAGCTGCTGCTTCGTTATCATGGGCCTCAGTTCTTACAAGGAAGGAGAGGGCAGGAATCCGGGAGGGAGGGGCTCTTCAGTCCTGGCAAATGGAGACAAAGTATGTCAAGACAGTTCCCGGAACTCAGGAACTCAGAACCTAACACATCTGGCTCTTTCCAGCATGAGCCGCTTTTACTGCCGGACTTTTTAAAAGGCAACGCCAGGAGGATGGCTCTTCAGTGAAGAGTGCTGGGAGCCAGAGTTTGATCCATGGTACCCAGGGGGCAGAAAGAAAAGGCTGACTCCCTCTGCTTGTCCTCTGACTTCCATTATATACATGTGCGAGTGCTTGCACACACACATACACACACAAAGTAAAAGTAAATTTTAAAAATAATAAAAGCTATTGCTTATTTCATCTTATTTTCCCAAGGCCCACTTACTCCATTATCAACAAAGAAGGGGAGAAGCCTGTTGCTTGACTTGTCTGAGACAGAATCTGAACACAGCCATTACAAAGTTGACCTTAAATGAGCTGGGCTCTGACTCTAACCCTAGGCTGTAGGTGCAAGCAAAAGTTTTTGCTTGCATAAGTACCCATACCCAAAATACTTCTGTCAATTTTGCTGACAAGTTGTGTCTTTAGGCTGCCACTGATCAGAGTACACGTTCAGTCACAGGAAGGTTTGGGGGGAGGTCGATGTCATGAAACCGTCGGCCATCACTGCCGTGTGCTGGGTCCCTCTAGCTCTGAATGGACCTACTAACTCCACGACGACGACAAAGTTTAACCTCTCCTTTCTGCTACCCTATCTACCATAGGGCCCAGTTTCTTACATCAGAGCAATCTGTGCTGCGTGATCCAGCTGCCGCTAGCCAGGTGCAGATATTTAATCCGAGGAGTAAAACTCAGTGAGATTTAAAGATCAGTTCCTGGACTCTTCAGTGAAGACCGGTTCCTCAGGAACCAGCCCCATTTCAAGTGTTCAGAACCGAGCGTGGCCAGTAGCTCTTGTGTCCCAGTTGCAGGGTTACAGGGAGTTAGCTCTACTGGATGAAAGATTTACAACAAGCCCCCACAGTCAGGCGTGTTTGAATATGCCTGGCGGACACTTCCGCCTAGCCAGGTCCAGATCAGGATAGCCATTTCCGGGTCAGGACATCTCGAGTGACCAAGATCCGTGACGTCCCACTAGCCACGTAGGAGCGCCATGTGATCTACGCGCTTGCGTGTAGTAGTGACGCTGATCTGTCCACGCCCAGCCTTTAAAATCTGGCGCCATGTTCCCGGTCCCTTCTTCTCTACACACGTGTTTCCCGCAGGCCTGTTCACTCTCTGTCCCTTTACCTTTAATAAAACTCCTGTTAGCGGATTCTGTCGTGTTTCGTGGCATTTCCTTGCAGGGTAAGCACACAACGCAGCCGAAAAACTAACACTGGAACCTTCCCCTGGAGAGCCAGCCAGTTCACTCCTGTCACGTGCTCTGTCCCTTGCTCCACTCTCAGCTTGGGTCAAAGTGACCAGTTTTTATGGCTCTTCAGAATCCATTTAGCTCTTTCTTTTTCATGTGTGCTGGGGTTGGAATCCAAGGCCTCTCACACGCTAAGCAAGTGCTGTACCGCTGAGCCCCACCGCCTCTACTTACCCACCTGCCCCCCCCCATTCCTTCCTCCTCCTCTCTCCCCTTCCTCTTCTCGCCTCTCTCTCTTCCTTTTCCTCCTTTTCCTCTCCTGTCCCGGTCTTCTCTCTCTAGTCTTCCTCTACCTCCTCTTTCTCTCTCCTCTTCTCTTCCTTTCTCTCTCCCCACTTCCTCTCCTCTTCCCTTTTCTACCCCTCCTCTCCCTTCCCATCTCTTGTCCACCGTTTCTCTCCTTCTTCCTCCTTTCTCTCTCCACCTTCTCCCTTTCCCCCTCTTCTCACTTCTCTCCTCCTCCTCCTCTTTTCCTCTCCCTTCTTCCCTCCCTCACCTGCCCTGTTCTCTCCCCTGCTCCCTCTGCCCCCCCAACACCTCTAGTTTTGACACACAAAAGTGCACTCTGTAGGCCAGGCTAGCCTGGAACTGGCCATGCAGCCCGTACTGATTTCCCCCTCACCACCCTCTGCCTGCTTGGTTTCCTGAGTGTTGAGATTATAGGCGTTGACCGCCATGCCCAGCCACCACGGGCCACCTCTCCAGCATTCTCCTTGGGGGTTTTCTGTTTAACAGCTCCTCCCTTGAGTTCACTGTGTGAACTTCCTCACGTATTCCTGGTCTCAGGTTAAACTCCACTTCCCCCGTTCCCTTAGGCTACATTGCCCTGTGCACTTCTGTTGTGTGACATTTTGTTGGCGTTCTGACACAAAGCTTGCCTGGAGATCAGAGAGGGTAGAGCTAGCTACTAGTTAACCATAGAGGAGTGGAGGTCTGTACAGAGAGGAGACAGGAAGTGATAAGGTGGGGCAGAGATAGGATCTCAACCCTTTTGGACAGAGGATCAGGAGAGGTAGGAAAAAGTCGCTGGTGGCTGCTGGTCCACTTATCTTTCAGGTTTTATCGCAATATCTGACTCCTGATTTTTTTTTTTTTTTTTTTTTTTTTTTTTTGCAATACCATTCAGTTCTACATATCAGCCACGGATTCCCTTGTTCTCCCCCCTCCCGTCCCCCTCACCTTCCCCCCAGCCCCCCCCCTCCATTCCCATCTCCTCCAGGGCAAAGCCTTCCCCACAGACTGAGGTCAACCTGGTAGACTCAGTCCAGGTAGGTCTAGTCCCCTCCTCCCAGGCCGAGCCAAGCGATCCTGCATAGGCCCCAGGTTTCAAACAGCCAACTCATGCAATGAGCACAGGACCCGGTCCCACTGCCTGGATGCCTCCCAAACAGATCAAGCCAATCAACTGTCTCACCCATTCAGAGGGCCTGATCCAGTGGGGACCCCTCAGCCATTGGTTCATAGTTCATGTGTTTCCATTCATTTGGCTATTTGTCCCTGTGCTTTATCCAACCTTGGTCTCAACAATTCTCGCTCATATAAACCCTCCTCATTCTCGCTAATTGGACTCCCAGAGATCCACCCAGGGCCTTGACTCCTGATTTTTATTGATAAGATTAATTAGATTTATGCTTCACACTTCTTTCTGTCTTGTACTTTATCTGGTATTTTCAGGCTTGCAAAGAGAGTAGAGGCAAAAGAGGAGCCTGAGGACTGTTTCTTTGGTTCATTTTCTACTTCCTCCTGGAATTCTTGACTGGCCAGCCTCCTGCTAAACCCTGATAATTCCCTGGGAGGGAAGCAGGACCAAGATGTGACTGCCAGCCACAGAACTCCCCATGATTCTTGGGGTTCCTGCCTATGTAAGATCTCTCCCTACATTGAATCAAAGTACATGGTGGAGGGCGATGGCTGGATCATAGACTAC